ACTTAATGTTCATCTTAAAGATTTAAATCTGTAGTTATCCAGGCTACAAACTTCTTGGGCTTTTTAGATATCTCAAAGAGCCAAAGCCAAGTGGCTTTCACATGGGAAAGATGACCTTGTTTTTTGTATGCTAAGATCGAGGCCAGGAGAAATAGGAGTAATTTTTATGATATCTCTGATACTAATGGTACTCTCACTTCACATCATGACATTGATAATGCCTTTATACAACATTTTAAAGAGCTTTAAAATTTGCCTAAACCTATTAATCCTATGAATTTCTCCATTCCCTCCGGCAACAGTGTGCCTCCCAGTCTGGTTGACCCCTTAGTTGAGCCTTTCTCTTATAAACAAAATTAAAGCAGGTAGTTTTGATGGGAATGATTCCTCCACTCCAGGTCTTGACGGTTTTTCATTTGCTTTTTTATAAAAGAGCTTGGCATATTATTGGCCCTCATGTGTGTAAGGCTATAATAGGTTTTTACAACACTAGTTTTCTTCCTAAAGGGGCCAAGGCTTGGCTATTACTCTTATCCCAAAAAGTACCCATGTCTCTAATATCTCGAATTATAGGCCCATTTATCTTTGCAATATTTTATACAAGATTATGGTGAAGTTGTTAGCTAACTGGTTGAAGCTCATCTTACCACTCATCATTCATGATAGTCAGGCTGGGTTTATTCAAAAGAGGTGCTCTACTTATAATATCCTCCTTTCCTCTAAGCTCCTAAAGGGTTTTAATCCTTCCAGGAATAGTTTTTGTGCCAAACTGGATATTATGAAGGTTTTTGACTCTGTCTCTTATGATTTTCTTCTTCAAAGAATGAGAAAAAAAGGGTTTCCCAGAGAAATTTATCAAATGGGTGAAAGGTTGCATCACCAATTTTCACTTTTCTATTTGTATTAATGGTTCACGTAATGGCTTTTTTAGCTCCTCCTTGGGGCACCGCCAGGGGTGCCCCTTATCCCCATTGCTTTTTTGTATCATAATGAATGGAATATCTTGTTACTTGACCCAAGGAAATATTCCTTTTTCTAGTATTAAACTTAATGGTTACTTTGTTTCTCATCTGCTCTATGAAGATGATGTCCTCCTCTTCAATTAGGCCCCTCGAGATAATGCTACATGTTTAGCCAACTCTCTTATTGTTTTTTGCTAATGCCTCAGGTCTTTTCATTAACCCCGTTAAGAGCTCCATCATTTCTCTAACAATGTGTCTGATTATGATGCTATCTGTGATATTCTTGGCATCCCTCTCACGAGCACTTTTCTCAAATACCTAGGGATTCCTATCTCCCCTTCCCGGCTTAATTTTATTCACTTCCAACCACTCTTCAGCAAGGTTCTTACTCTACTTGATGGTTGGAAAGTTAAGTTTCTCTCTTTTGCCGGTGGGACTCAATTTCTTAAATTCACAATCATGAATATCATTGCTTATTGGATCAGGGGATCGATTATTCCTAAGGCTTGCTATAAAACCATCTCAAAGCTTTGCGCTAGATTTTATTCCATGGTCACATCTCCGATAGGAAACTTCACTTGATCTCTCTGGCTAAGACTGCTACACCCAGGCTATTCGGGGGCCTTGGAATTCCGTCTATTGATTCTCTTTATCATGTGAATTTTTGCTCTTTTTTATGGAGGATTTATGATTCAAATAATATGAATATTACCTGGTTTAAGTCCAAATATTGCTCGCCTTGGAAGCTGCCTTCTACCAATGCCTCTAAATTTTAGAAATTACTATGTTCTACTGCACAGTCGGTTAGAGGTTCTATTTCCTTGGCTGTTTCCCCTAACAGCACTTTATCTATGAGATGGGACCCTTGGTGTAATGGTAAATCACTTTATAAAATTTTTCCTTCTGTTAGGCTCGGTTTGCGTTATGTTAGCTGCTATATTAACGATAACCAGTGAGCCATTCTTTCTAGATCAATTGCATGCTACGGTCCAGGGTATACCCTTATGTGAGCAACCAGCTATGTATTGGGAAAGCTTACACTATCCCTATTTCTCTACCTTCTATGCCTAGTTCTTTATTAATTTTGAGGTAGTAGGTTGGTACAAGTTTATTTGGCACAAACATCACTCTTTCAGATTTTCTTCTTATGCATGGATGGCTGCTCTCGGATGATTTAAAAGTTCTTATTTACTTCATATGAGATCTATTGATGTTAATCCTTTATGCTCGTTTTGTCAAAGTGGTTCTGAAAGCCATTCGAATCTATTCTTTGAATGAAATTTTTCATTCTATGTTATCTCCAATTTATTGCCTGGAATGGGCATCTTCCACTTTAGGCCATCTCTACTTCAGGTTTTTTATTTCATTGAGGAAGCTCACGGTTTCTCCAGTTGGGGAATTTTTTTTTTCTTCCTGCTTATTTGTGGCTCGATTTATTATCTTTGGAAAGAAAGGATTACTCGGCGGTTTGATAACACATAGAATAGCCCCTCCAAGATTTGTTTCTTCATTAGGCAAGCTCTCCTCCTCATGGTGAGGAGGTGGAAAAAATTTGATGAGCTCAAAGCCCATTTTGCTTTGCTGAATTGAGAAGTTTGTGTTGCGGCGGTTTGGAGATTTTGAAGGTTTTGTTGGGCAATGATTTTTGTGTTGCTCTTTTTCTCCCCTTGGATGGCAGTGGCCTGCGGCTGACCGTTTCTATGATCTTTTTGTCACTCTGCAACCAGAGGATGTCATGCATTTCGGCAATACCCTGAGCCTAATTTTTGGTTCCCCCAATGCGCTTTTGCTTGCTTGGGGTGACTAGTTTTCTCTACTATTTTTTGGTTTTTCTTGTTTGTTTATGCTTTATAGGTTTTCTTTTCTTACATGCAACTAATTTTCATTAATGGAATCAGGGCTTTTGCCCTCAAAATTTCCCCAAAAAACTTTTTCCATGGTTGCTATTTTTTTAGTCAATCGAAGCCCTTTGGGGAAACTGGAGTTATATCAGGACCGTTCTCTCAAAGGGCATGATTTTTTTAGGATTTTTCCTTCCATTCTCAGTCCCTCGATAATCAAAATAGGAAAAAGGGGAGGATAAAACTTTTAAACTGATTTATTTATAATTTATATTATTTAAATAAATATATGTATTTTTAAATTAGACATAATAATCTGTTAAACAAGCAAGTCTGTTAGTGACGTTACTGCCAACATAGCTAGCAGCCCACCCTTCGGGGATAAGCCACTCATCCACTAGCCTGAAAATTGGCTTTTTTTTCTACTTCAGAACTTTTTCTGGAAAGAAAGTGAAGAATTTTTTTCTCTATATTTTTTCAACACCATAAGTCAGAATGTAATTGTGAGCAATGATGAGATATTTTAGTTTAATTTTTTATTTGGGATAATGTTTTTAATTTTCTTAATGTAACTTTTTTAAATAAAAATTTTAATTTTTATACTCAAAAACTATTTTAAGTAGGAGTAAAAAAAATCTCAGTAATTTAATTTCCGAAAAAGAAATACTCTTTAATTTAATTCATGTCAATTCATCTTAAATGCACTTTATTTAAAGATAACTAAATTTCATTTCAATTTAATACTTTATTATAATTACTTAATATTATAATATAAATATTATAAATATAATTAAAAATAATTAACATATTATTACAATCTAACGTCAATCTTCAAAACTAAAAACAATTAAAATTCTCTAAGTTTAAATTTAAAATTTAATTATCTTAATAATAAAAAAATAAAATACCTGTAATGCTTTGTTAATTCTATTGATAGTGATGGTGGTGCTCTGATGAAGAATCTCTTAGTGGCCAGGATTTATCTAGATTATATCGTAAATCGTGCTAAACTGTTTGAGAGGACATTGTAAGTCTGAATGATTCTAAAATAGCATATTTATTGATTTTTTTAGTAAATCAATGATTTAATAAATCTCATTGTTTAGTTGATTTAACATGATTTACAGCGAAGCGAAAACTCTCTCGTGGTGTCCTTGTTGTCGAGTAGGCAAGAATCTCTTTACTTTACATACAATTCTCCCAAAAAAATTTTTATTCTCCCACTTTACATACAATGATTGATTCGTAACTTTTGTTTTTTTTTTTTACTTTTTTGTACCTCTATATATATATATATAAATGCAATATTGCATTAGAATAAAAAAAAGTTATTACAAACTACTCAAAGCAAAGCTAAAGATTCAAATTCGTCCTTCATAATAAACAAGAATGAAGGAGAACTTTCTAGCTTACTAAGATCATGCCAAATAAAATTTTTACCCAAAGCAAAATTAACACAACAATCTGCTAATTTATTACATTCTCTAGTAGTAAAGCTGAAAGAAACTTGATTAAACTCTTGGATGAAAGCTAATTCTTCTTCAATTATTTCTTTATTCTTCAATCTCTTCAAAGCTTGTTAAAGAATCTTGATGATATTAAAGTTATTCCCTTCAATAATCACACATTTTGCTTCCACCATCCAATCCTGTATGACATTCTTTATAGTGTAGACCGCTAGAAGTTCCAATTGGGCAATGTCCCAGTGCAAGTATTGGACACCAAAAGCAAGTAAGAACCTTCCTTTATCATCTCTACACACTCCACCAATACCAGCCTTATTGTTACTACTTAGAGAAGCATCAACATTGATCTTTAACCATCCAGGTGGAGGAGGATGCCAAGAATAAAATAGCTTACGCTGGTTGACTGCTCAGTTGTCAGAATAGATATTGATAGTCGGTGTAACAGCAGCCATAGTCTTTTTTTTTTTTTTTTTTTTTTGAAAGAAATGCATCAAAATTGCATTAAAACCAAAACACAACTAAGTACAAGTAAGGAGTGGATCACATTCCTCCTTGAGTAAATTTAACAACAAGGAAGGAATGCAATCAAAGGAAAAACTATCAAAAAATAAGCTCTTCTCCAATGCTATAGTAGCACACAATTAGCTACTTTATTACAACTTCTATGAGCATGGAGAAAAACAACTTTATTAAAATCATTAAGGAAACACAAATCCTTATTCCGCCATCTATCAACATGCCACTTGTTCTTCTTTAGAGAGTCTTGAATGAACTTGATAACATTGGCATTTCACTCTCAATTTGCACTCCAACTTCCAGCTTTTCAAAAAATCTTTCACCGAAAAAACTGCTTTAAGCTCTAATTGAGGAATATCCCAATGAGTTCCCTTCTTCCCAAATGCACTTATAAACCTTCCTTTGGGGTCTCTTAAGACACCACCAACTCCAGCCAAATTGGAACTAAGCAAAGAAGCATCAACATTGATCTTGATCCAATCTTTCGGTGGAGGTAACCAAGTACTTCGAGACTCCCTAAGGATATTAGCACCCCAGCTAGTAAGATAAGGACAAGAATTTGATATGGCTGAAAACAAAGCATTCGAAGCAACCATAGAGCTTGGCAATGCACTCTTGCCATGCTTGACAACATTCCTATTCTTCCAAGAATGATACACTATATTGCAGTAAATCTGTACAATTCCAGAATTATTATGTGCAATGTGTTTTAAACCCCATAAACAACAATCAAGAGAGCTAAAAACGGGAATAGAAATACCCCATTCACCCATCTTTACAATAACATCAATCATATATTGGCAATGTACCATTATATGTTCATATGTTTCACTTACTTGACATCCTCTAGGACAACAATCATCAGTTGAAATCCTGCGGTTCTTCAAAAACAGATTGGTTAGAATTGCTACCTTCCCCAACCTCCACCAGAAGATCTCCACCTTTTTCTTGAGTTTTAATTTCTGTAACCAGTTGAAGTAGTCAACATCCTCCAGATTATACTTGTTATACAACATTTGCTCATACACCATTGCTGAAACAGTTTTTCCCGAACACTTCTTCATCAATTCCAGCTGATCCTCCTCCTCAAAATCAATATGGATTTGGCTGATCAAGGATATCAGATCTGGGTGGAATACCTTCTGTAACTTGGTGTAATCCCTCTTACCATTACTAAGTAAAAATTGCTGAACATATACACCATCCAGTGAATTACAATCAATAAAGGTTGGCCAACGGTTGATGCATCTATCCAGCATCCATGTATCATTTAGAACATTAATCTAGTCACCCTTGCCCACTCTCCAACGAATATCCATTCTCAAACATTTACCACCATCCACCAGAATTTGCCAAGCCGTTGAAGTGATCTTCCTTTGGGCTCCATTCATCACATCATTTCCATATCTAACTGCCATTACACGGTGGAACAAAACTTGTGGTTTTTGAATAAAATTCCAGGCCAACTTGGATCTAAGAGATCCAACTCTATCCATTGGAGAATGCACACCCAATCCTCCAAAACATCTTGGTTTACAAATATCACCCCAAGCCATATAATGCATACCATTGGTCCCATCATTTTTATGCCAAAGAAAACTTCTACAAAGTTTCTCCAACTCATGTAAAACCCTTTTGAGTATCATAGAATGTGTGACTAAAAAGTTAGGCATATATAGCAAAGAGCTATCAATAAGAATCAACTTTCCTCCTAATGAAAGGGACTTTTTACTCCAAGCATTAAGTTTATCCATCACATTACTCAAAATTTCTTGAAAATCAGCCATTTTGATTCTATTAAGAGACATCTTCGCTCTCAAATACTTCTTCTCTTTGACAACTTTAAAACCAAGAGCTTTAGCAATTTTTTTCTTCATAGAGTACCTAACTGCCTTGCCAAACATCATTTGAGATTTGCTTACATTCACTCTTTGTCCAGTCCGCTTACAAAAGTCCTCCACAATAGTCTTCAAATTCTTTGCTGAGTCCACGGATGCATGAGAAAAGATCATCACATCATCAGCGTAGATGAGATGAGTAATCAAAGGTCCTCTAGGAGAAATTTGTATGCAAGCTTCTGTCCCCTTTGCACAATAGAGTTAGACAAGAGTTGAGAACATAATATAAAAAGGTATGGCGAAAGTGGGCATCCCTGACAGAACCCACATTGAGCATAAATCCAATTAGAGTTCCTCCCATTGATGATTACAGAGAACCTCACATCTACAACACACTCCATGAGAAGGTTAGAAAAATCAATAGGAAATCCATACCAATCAAGGATGTGCCGAAGAGATATCCATCCCATACTATCATACGCTTGCTCCATATCAAGTTTGATAGCCATCAACCCCTTCTTATTCTTAGAAATTCTGAATTTGTGAAATATCTCCTGAGCCAAAAGATAATGCTCCGCAATCGATCTTCCAGGAATGAATGCCACTTGTTCCTCTGAAATCATCTTGGATATAACCTTCTTCAATCTATTAACTAACATTGTAGCCACAATTTTATAATTAGTTTGGCAAAGGCTAATAGGCCTAAAATTAGAAGGAGTCATAGGATTCTTAATCGTAGATATCAAAATAATTAAAGTGTTCTTCCACTCCCTATGCATATGGCAGGTTTTAAAAAAGCAATTAACGGCCTTCCAAAGGGTCTCCCACACAATACTCCAATAGCTCTTGTAAAAGGAAGAAGTGACTCCATCTAACCTTGGAGACTTGTTGTTGCCCTGCTGAAAAACCGATTTCTACAGCTCAATAATTGAGAATTCTACATTGAGCACATCCATTTCATCACATGCAATTTTCTGGTTTTCAAAAATTGCAGGCCAGCCCAACACTTTACACTTCCTATACTTCCATTTTTCTCAAAAAAATGATGAATACCTTCTCAATTCTCTCATTTTCATCAAATACATTGTTGAGCTCATCTTTGATTTAAGTTATCCTATTCCCATTCTTTCTAGCCGTGGCATAGCTATGAAATAATTTGGAATTTGTATCACCTTCCTCATGCCACCTAGCCTTTGCCCTTTGATTCCACCAAGTAGAAAGCCTCTTCAAGGTGACATTAAGTTCATGGACTTTATTTCTAAGAACCAACAGATCATCATCCGACCAATTGACACCCAATGCTTCCTTGTTCTGAAGTTCAAGGATCTCTTTTTTTAATTTCTCCTTTAACACATTCAAATCTTTACATTTGTTCCTATTCCAGAAAAATAAAGCTTTTAAAGTGCGATTAAGCTTCCTTTGTAAGATCATAAACTCATCTCCAAAATCCTTCTTGCTCCAAGAGTGAAAAACAATACTCTTGGTTGCAGGGTAAGACCTCCATGTATCCTCAAATCTGATAGCCTTAGACTTGAGCCGCACCTTTTGAACCATCTTAACGACAATTGGACAATGATCAGAAGCCAATCTCGCAAGATGTCCAGTAACCATTAAAGGAATTTTCTGAATAGCAACATAATTGACCATACACCTGTCCAACCTCTCCCATATCCGAGAAGCACCCTCCTTGTTGTTGCACCAAGTAAACCGTGGCCCCACATAGCCAACATCATGAAAATGAGCATTCATCATGAAGCCTTTCATCTCCCTAGGTCCTTTAGAGAATAAGAACCTCTTTCCACCTCTCTTCTCCTCCTTATTAGTAATACAATTGAAGTCTCCTCCTATAATAGAAGGAATATCATTCTCCAAGCTCTTCTCTAAATGATTCCAAAGATCACTCCTCTCCTTGCAGCACCTACTACCATAAACAATAGCAATTCTTCACATTCCCAAGGTGGGAACTAAAAGATTGCCAATGAGCACCTGTGAAGTGGCTTCCATAACATCAAAGGTCACCATCTTGCTATTCCACAGCACCAGAATACCACCAGATGTACCAACAACAAGGTAGTGAAAAAACTCCCACTCACTCCCTATAAGACAATCAACCTCCTTCTATTAATGCTAGACAACTTTGTCTCCATAAGCCCAACAAAGAACACATCTTGATCCCTAACAATTTCTTTCAGATACAAGGAAGCCTCCTTCTTCATGGCTCCCCTGAAATTCCAAAATAAAATAGAATACATTTAAACAGGTAATGAAGATCTCTCCCCACTGTTGGGGTTCAATCTTCCAACCTTTTCCAATGATCTCAGTTCTTTAGCTAGTTTTACCTTGGCCATACCACTTTGAGAACCCAAGTTAGTATGGTTACCATCAAGTTTAGGTATATCCGAACTTCTATCCAAGGCTTTATCAGTTTCATCATGCTGCTCTATATCTTCCTCAACATCTTTATCAACTACTATAACAAACCGATTGGTTGAAAGAGTTTCACACATCTCCACACCAGTTTTCTCCACATTAACAGAGCTTTTTCCTGGAACCACATCTGCTTCTTTAACTGCTTTAGTATCCTCAGTTCTTGTATTAACTATCTCCACCTGACGGCTATTGATGTCTCTGTTCTCAGAATTATTTCCCTTAACACTCACACCTCTTCCAGCCACAATAGCCCTTCTGAATCTTCTATTTTTGAACTCGACATGGATCCAAGGACCATATTCAGCATTGATTACAAAAGGATTACTCTCAATGGAAAACTTCATCCCTTCCCCTGTTACTGTGTTCATCTTCTTCCTTGTTTGATCCTGAATACCAATAGTTACATTATCTGGACATATCTTAGAATCATGACCCACTTTACCACACTGATAGCAAAGAAGATCAATTTTCTCATACTCCACCCTTTGGAAAAACCTCCCAGCTAAACCTTCAACCCAAACTCCATTTGGTAGCTTCTTCTCCAAGTCAATCTGACACAAACACGGGCGAATTCATGTTTGGTCCAACGGAAGGTATTGCCATCAAAGTACATTGGAGAACCAAGACATGAAGCTATTCTTGCTATACTATCTTCATCCCAGTAGTACAGAGGTAAGAACGGTAGTCTAATCCAAATGGGAGCAGAGATTCCCTTAAAGGAATTTGGATCAAACATAGGAGTCCACTTATCCATTCCAACAATGAACCCATTCACATACCACGGACCTCCATTCAGTATTTCATCTACCACCTCACTGGTCATGAATGAACACAAAATCCAGTTCATTCCGATCGACGTCAAATGAAATCCTCCGTATTTGCTCCACTGCCTTCTCAATTCTAGACTGCAAATCTAGAATGGCACGTTATTTCCCAAAACTTTAATCACAATAGAATTCTTTAAAATTCTTGAGTTCTCTGCCTCCTTCTCCGCATTCAACCTGACCGCAACACCATCTTAAGAAAAATCAACCTGGACTTTGTTTATCGAAATTTTTATAGGCTTCATTTTCAACCAAGCATCAGCAACTTCCCCAACACCCTTCTGTTCAGAACTATCACTCTTCTTGTTCGTCAGGCTTACAGAATTAATCAAATCATTCACCTGGATCATTGAATGATCCACCAATTCAAAATTCTTCTGACCCTCAACCGAATTCAAATCATTAGCAATAATACGTCCTCCGATCGTATCAAGAACACTAGAAAAATTCTTCACCCTCAGACTAACATTATCCGAAGCCGAATAATCAAGATTACCCAACCTGGATTATGTTGGACATCTCTAATCTTCTGAACCACCAAATCATCAACTTTAACATTATTCCCCTTGCCTTCAACAGGATCCTGACGACTCACAGGTTTAACTCCTTCTTTAATCACAATACCATACGATCCTCTACCATTGGCCCGCAGAGATCCAGATGGTCATGGAGCAGTCATACCCGCCGATTAGATACCGTCGGCGATCATCCGATGCAAATCCTTCAACCGCAGAAAACCCGTGAAAATCGAATTCGAAACAATGAATAACTTTCTCTCTCTAGAATTTGAACCAGACGTTCTCTCTCATCAAGGGCCAACTTTTTATTATTTTCTTTTTTAAAACTCAAACAATCAAAAAACATAAAATACACAGAAAAAATATCAAGTTTGCAGATGATTTTATTAAAGCATTAAGATCAATCACACCAAGCCTTATTCTTAATGTGCTGAAGGTATCAAAAGCTAGTGGTTTTGTAGAAATATCTGCAAGTTAATTTTCAATTGAAACATGGGTCAATTCAATCTCTCCTTTGGGTACATGATCCCTTATAAAATGATTTCTATCTATATGTTTCATTCTAGAATGTTGAATAGGAATTTTTGAAATGCAAATGGCACTAGTGTTATCACAATAAATTGGAATTGCGACTATTATAAATCTTAAA